ATGCAATTGCTCACCACCCGCCGACCGATGCCCAGCCCGTCCCGAGCCGCAAGCAGTCCCCGAGCCGCAAGCAGTCCCCGAGCCGCGAGCGACCGACCGAACTAACTAACCCCCCCCCGAGCATGACGTTATATGGTATGGAATAGCTCTTTGGTCAGTTTGGGTTAGCTGTGCTAGCTGTGCTCCCTCCCAGCTTGTTATGCACCTGGCCGAGCAGGAGAAGCTCAAAAAGTCCTTGAGTAGTCTGAGCACTACTTGGCAACAGCTGAAAACATCAGTGTGTTATCAACATTCTTCTGGTACTAAATCCAAAACACAGCACTATGCTAGCTTCTACGAAGAAAATTAACTCTATCCCAGCCAAAATCAGGACACTAATGTAGCAGTCACTGCGATAACCAGATCACTGTGGTAACACCACAGCAATGGTTACATGCTGGTCTTAAAAACACTACTATCACAGAGTATTTCAGGAGTTGGTATTCCACCAGTAAAGTAAGTTTTGGTTCCTTCATTCCAAAAGGACATGTGTCTTTGCTCATGATAAATAGAGAAGAGGAAAGAGGATGGCATAGCACAAATTGGTAACTGTCAGAGTCCTTGCAAACACTGCTTTTGTACAGTGACATAACAAACCCAGTGATGGCTACTGCAATCCTAGAAAGAAGTTAAACCCACTAATAGCAATCAAATGCTTAAGAAAAGATGTCAAGACTGAAAAAAAAAGCCTGTCTGTGTTGCATCAAGCAGTATAAACATTTGCTTTACCTAGAGTCTATGCATATATTCCTGTTAGTAAGTAAGCCGCATAAGAGTGAAACGAGGCTGACGCATGATCCTGGTGAGATTTTCATAGCAGTTCCTCTCTTCTGTGGTTTTCAACTTCTTTTCAAATGCAGGTCCCTATAAAATTTTAGGTGGTAGTTGAGTTCCTCAGTAGATTAAATATGCTAGCAGGAGGCCTGCTACTCTTAGTTGCTTTTCTGGGATCCCTCAGAAGCAGCCTGCAGCCCTACAGAATGAATTGTTTGGATCACAAATAGCAGATTTTGTTTAAAGAATAGATATTTTCTTTCCCCTTCTCTCTTTCTTTTATATATGATAAATCTCTTTCTTCCTTTTATACATAATACTAAGTACATACATATAATAGATTGCTCTCTAAGAAAGAATAATTCTCTTTGCAGATAGGAAAGCAGCATGGGAACATATGTGGGAACTATGGAAGTGAAAGCATTTCTGAGATGCTTTGTCCTTTGTTTTTTTTTGCAAAGGGTATTAAGGTAAAAAAGGAAATATGTGGACTTGGATAAAACATTTTAGATTCTCACCAGCTCTTTTCCTGCTTCCAGCAGACAGGAAGCCAAGTCAAACACTACAGCTCATGTCTCTTCCCTCCCGTATGACAGCTCTGCAGCAGTTTATTTAGGCACTCCTGCATCACCCCAACATGGTATTTATTGTTTATGTTTAGAAATAGCAAAGGAGACCTGGAAATGTTTACATACAGCCACCAATGTTTTGCTATTAAAAATAAAACTAAAATTTCCTACAGAAGCCACAGTACAACAATGGGTTATACCGGAGAATGTGATTCTGACTTTATTAGGACAACTGCCTTGGAGGACTCAGTACACATGAAGCTGTTTTTCTAACTGGCTGATAATGATGCCATGTCCATATCAGTACGGTTCACTAAGCAGGATGGAACTAACCGCTTTCCTTATTTTTAATCTTAACTTCATTGTTGTGAAGCTGGACATGTGCTCCAGACTTGCACCTCAGGGTAAGCACTGCACTGCTGCAGAGGTCTAAGACACTGTGCTTTAGGTCTCTGTCTCTTCTTCTGTTCTGAAGAAGAATGTTATAAAGAGCTGCCACAAATCACCTCTTATGCTGAAGGAGTAATTTCAGCACGTCTGTGTAACACAGATAAAAAACCTATAGTCTAAAGCCATACGCTTCATTAATCAGCACAAAGTTGAATACTATTTTCTGTTATGTTTCCCCCACCGCTTGCACCCCACTCTAGCACCCAAACACTCATTTCACACCAATGCTCCAGGTGACTGACACTTCCTAAGAAAAAGCAATGAAGTTATACGACCTAAATTCAGTGGAGCGGCAATTTAAGTTGGTTAGTCCGTAGCCCGTTACTGATATATCCAGATATAAGGACAACAAAGGTTTCATTTCTTACTCTCGCTTCTGTTGTACTCTTCCATCACAAGAGTGAAGTGGCACTTCTGGTTCTGCACTGCTCAGGGAGATCCCGAATTTAAAATCCAACCCTCTTTCATTCTAGGAACTTACTGCTTTGTGTTCACGGTTTGCCAAGCCAGGAGACAGACCTGCAAAAGCAGGTCACTTTATGCAGCGCATCCCGAGTGGCACATTAATACAGCAGTTCTGCCGACATCCCATTTCATGCCGCCTGTGAAGTCAGTTATGCCCGCAGGTCAAATACGGAGGCTTCAGTCACAGCAATTAGTCACTCCCCAGAACTCTGCATTCTTGATGTAAACACCCAAAGCCCTTGGAACCCGCGAGCAACACGTCAGAGATCATGGAAATTACAGGAGGCAAAGCAAGGGCAGGCAAGAATTATTTGCCAGGTTTCCAGGGTATTTGTGTGCCTTGTTGGCTATTCTGCAAGTCTGCAGTATCCTGCATGTTTTGCCTCGAGGCAGCTGATTGCTGACTCAGAAGCTCTGTAAATTCCTTGGCTGGAGTGTTGGGAGAGAAAGACAAAGCCTGTGAAAAAATGCACGCAAGAACAGTGTTCGTGTTGCTATTTACAATAATAGCATGAGGTCGTCACTGACTCATGACTGCAAGTACGCTCAGGATCTCCAGCGCTTGCCCAGGACAAAAGAAACCAGTGAAAAACAGAGGCACAGGCAATGAATAATTCCAGGTGGTGGTTCCTTCCCACAGTCACCACAGATGCAGGAATATGAATATTTTACCAAATGCATGTAAGAGAAAGGAAGTCCAGTGCCTTATTTCTGTTGAATGGAAGAAATAGGAAGAGAATTTGCTGAACGATACAACATAATGAATTTGGTTTAACAAATTCAAGTTCCTGCAGAAAATGTTGCAAGTGCAGGTCTCTTTTATTCCATGCCAATAGACCCCCATTAAAGGAGTCACCCTCCCTACATTTTCCACCCTGATTTTGCTAAAAGTGCTCACTCAACTAATGACTTGAGACTGGAAAAATAAAATATTATGGGAATATATTTTCCAACATTTTTCTCCATTTTTTTCCGGCAGAAACTACTGGCTTTATTCCACCTAAATTCACAGCTTGTTCTGCATAGCTTAAAACAGCATTTTGAGTGAATAAAATATTTACCAAAGTAACTGTCCGGCTCCACTTAGGAGTGCTGACTTCCTCTGAGCACAATGTAAATACTTTCTTATATTTTGGTTATTTCACAGCCAGCCAAACACCACAGATGCACCCTTGACAGACAAATCTTCAAGAACTCAGAGATCAATGAACTGCAGTACCGTATGGAATCTGAGAGCAAGTTGGTTCATCAATCATAAAACTACTGATAGCTCCAATAGCCCCAATTTCCATTGATTTCATCCTTTCCCTTAATTTCCAGTTCCCCTGCAACATTCCCTATGCCCTTGTCTCCCTTTCACGGCCCCTCAGCTTCTGCCTAAGCGAGACTCAGTAACACGCTCTGGAAACTCTGAGATGACTGCAGTACCTAGGCAGCCAGTACACACTTGCAACTTGGCTAGCAAAAGCCTAAGCACAGATTATTGTTAAGCTTGTGCTGCAGACAGTGGGAACACCTATTTTTGTCTCTCCCCTCCACCCAGCCTCCAGTTTTCTTGAAGGAAATCAATTACCTTTGAGACTTTTATTCCCCACCAAATCTGGATGAAATTGTTCACAAGTTATTAAGGATGAACTGAAAAGCAGATGGACAAATGGTTCAATCCCATAAGCCTCTCTTCTTTAGGAAACCACACTAAAAGAAATCTGTATTCAAACAAATGAAAAGGCTCTGTTTTGATTCCCAGGACTTGATTTATTTTACTTTTAGCTAAAACTAAAGAAATTAACTTTGCTACAATATGTTCATGACTTCCTAAGTGATCACGGGTATCAAAAAGTGCAGGTTTAGGGCAGTGGCAAGACTGTGGAACAGATGGCAAAAAGAGGACAATTTTGACACAAAAAGCTAAAGCCAGAACTGGAAAATATTTTAGCTCCGTATTATGCAGACAAGGAATGGGAAAGCAGGAGGACAAAGGCGTGGTTGCCATTGTTTGCAGCTTCCCTTTTACACCAGATGGAAAAAAAGAACGTCAGCACTGTCCACAGTATGTTTTAAGATGGTATTTAGATCTGCTCCCGTTCATAAAATTCAACACTCAAGCAAATATGCTGGCAA